TGAGCAGACTCTTAGAAGAAATAAGTAAGCTAGAACAACAACACAAGAATAGGAATAATAAAAAAGAAATAGAGTTGAAGTTAAAAAAAAAAGAAAGAAGAATTGGAAGGTGTAATAGAAGAGAGAGAGAAAAGCATATAAAGGGTTTGTGAAGTGAGCAGATATTGGGACAGATGGGGAGAAAGACCGGGAAAATACTTGATGAGGGTCCCTAAGGAAAAAAGAAAAATAGAAATATATAGAAAAATAAAAGACGTTAAGGGGAACCTGAAACACTCAAATGAGAGAAATCACCAAAGTTTTTATGGAATATTATAGAGGATCTGTATAATATAAATCCCCCTGCGGGAATCTGAAAATATAGAAAGTGAGAAGAACCATAAGAGAAAGAAATATATAGAGAAGGTCTGGGTTACTAAAATTAAGCGAAGTCCAAATGAAACTCCCTGGATGCAGATATCTCACAAGAGGAAATAAATTAGCTCTCTGAAGGGTACAAGTGTCCTGGGAAAAAGTCCAGGTCCAGATGGTTTATACTGTGAGATATTATAAAAAATATAGTGAAATCTTAGTACCAAAACTTAGAAAAAATATGAATGCAACCATTAGGTGGAGAGATGGAAATTAAGAAAAGAAATCGCTACAAGCTCAAATGGTGCTTACCAAAAAGAGGGAAAAGATGGCTACACAGTGTTCGAACTATAGACCTAGATCTCATTATTAAACACTGACACTAAGCTATACGCAAAGGTCTTGGCAAATAGATTGAAAGAGCTAATGCCGGAATGATACATCAGGACTCCAGGGTGGGCTATCGTTCCCTGGATGGAGGGTAGGAGATAATGGGCTTACGATCATTGATGCTGATCCAAAAAAGTAAAAAGGGAAAAGAACCGGTGAATTCTACTCTCTATAGACGCTGAAAAAGCGTTTTGATAGAGTGAATGGGAGATTCATGATAGATACTTGGAAGTCATGGGAATTGGGCCCAAGATGAGAGAGTGGATTAGGAAAGTTGTATAGATCCCCTCTTGCAGTTTGTTGTGGTGAATGGGGAGAGGTCAGAACCCATTAGAGATGTCAAACGGTACAAGACAGGGATGTCCAAGTCACTGTCCCCATTGTTGTATGTTGTATTACTAAACCACTTCTGTCAACAATACGGCTAAATAGAGATATAAAGGGAATTCAGATAGGGACAACGGAACATAAAGTCGCCGCTTTTGCTGACGACTTGCTTGTTCTATTGTGAAGAAACCCCAGATGACAATAGCCAAACCTAATGAAGCTATTGAAGGAGTATGGAGAATTGTCAAATTTAAAGATAAATCCAACAAAAACGGAGATTCTAAATATAAATATTTTCAAAAAATGAAAAAAGAAAAAATACAAAAGGAATTTATCCCTTTAAATGGAAAGATAGAGATATAAAATACTTAGGAGTAAATCTCACAGCTTCATATAAACAACCTTTACAAATTAAACCTATATTTCACTGATTAATGAGATTAGAGAGGAGCTAAAAATATTGCAAGAGGAACCCCGACATATTGATATGGGGGAGTCGTATTAACCTATAAAAATGATAATAGTACCAAAAAAATCATGTATAGATATCAAATGATACCAATTAAACTCCCAGAGACCTTTTTTAAGTTAATTAAGAAACTGATAACAAAATACATATGGATGAGGAATAAAAACCAAGATTGTCCATATGAGTTGTGTTGAGTAGGAGGAAAGAAAGAGTGGTTTAGAGGCTTCCAGATTTTAAAAGATACTATAAAGCTGTAATATTGGCTAGAACTATAGACTGGACACAGAACTATAAAAAAAGTTTGGGTGAGGATAGAGAATGAACTTAGTGGAATATATTTGGGTAAAGTGATATGGATACCAACCACTGTATAGGGGCCTAAATGATAATGTAAATACATACACTTTGAATGTTTTAAAAATTTGGGATAACCTTACACAAAAGTTTGAAATGGTCTTTTTAATTCAACACTAATTTCACTAAAAAACACGGAGTTTTTCCCCCCCCTGGTAGAGAAGAAATAGGAGGTAGGTGGATTAAAAAGGAAGAGGTTCAATTAAGAAGATATTTTGGGTGGGGATAAAATAGGATCATTTGGGGAATTGAAAAAAAAAAGAGGGTGAGATTTTCCACTAAATTAGACAAGTTGGCGGTATTTTCAATTGAAGAGTTTTTGTTGGGAAAGCTTGCCAAAACCTTTAAGGACAAGAGACAATTGGAACTTGTTTGAAAAGGTTTGGTGGCACCCGAGGGTGACCCGACGGGAAACACGGGATTGCTAAGGTATATAAAAATACTCACAGAACTAGATATAAATACAAAGCCAACATATATAATAACATGGGAAACTGAACATGGGAAGTGTTGATAGACGAGTGAGAAGCCAGAGGAGAATATATAGATTAAACCCAACGAAAACATTTCTATGAGAGAAGTAGAGATGAACTATAAGTGTTTGACAAGATGGCATAACATTACACCAATTGTTGAAAATAAGATGTGTATAAAGAGAGATTCACCGTGGTGCTGGAGGGGATGTGGTGAAATGGGTACAACATATCACATATGGTGGGGTTGCCCCAAAAATTCAGTTATTCTGGAAGACAATAACCCACTTGATAAGAAAATATAACAGAAATAGACATTGGATTAGACCCAGAAGTGTGTTATTTTACATAACAAAGGACATATCAGTCAATAAATATAAAAAATCAGGGATATGGGGGTGCTACATTAAATGCTGCAAAAGCTCTGATACCCAGGTTTTGGAAGCAAAATAGAAGTACCGACGAGGGTCCAGAAGACTGGGTAGACAGAAGTTGAGCAGATTAAAAAGAATGGAAAGGTTGTGCCCATGTCCAGGAAGATAGGATGGAGATTTTTATAATAGGAAATGGGAAGAAATTGGGACAAAGCTAAGTTTATATACGAAATATAGGAAAGATTAAAGAAAATAATAGGAAAACTGCACTTGCTGAGAGTAAAATGATGCAGATAAAAGGAAAAGTAGGAAGGTGAGGATTTGGGTGAGGGTGGTTGGATAGGGGGGGGGGGGGAAATTTGGAATAAGTAACATAAACCGATTAAGAAAATGTTATGGATACTATGGTGTCATAGATATATTTATTTGTTTGTATAATCATGATGTTGAAAAGTATTTAAAATGAAAATCAATAAACATTAAATTATAAAAAAAAAAGAAGTAGTTATGGAGTCACCTCCTATGTTCTTTCACCTTCAGTAACCTACCTCCCCATCCTCTGTTACTCCCTACCTCCAGTATGTCTGGTACAGCTTCTACCCGGTTTGCCTTATGGTGATCCTCAAAAACTTCTAATTCAGGAAAGCCCCTACCCCATATCCATCTAAAGAAAAAACCAAAAAAAAAAAAAAGAAAAAAAAAAAAAAAAAAAAAAAACTGTACAGCAAGTTCCCCTACTTATGAACGAGTTTCCGTTCATGGGAGTTTGTCCGAAGTCCAACAAAGTAAGGTTTATAATACTATTTCAAACACAAATAATGCATAAAAACACAAGAAATAGTGTAAAGAAAGGATGTTTAATCTTACAGTACCTTGAAAAGGTACAGCAGTACAATACACCAGCTGACATACAGGGGCTGATCATGGAGTGACCAGACAAGACCTTTTAGTGCTTGCTTCCAGACATCCTAGGCATGAAATCAACACTGTACCTACTGTATTCCTAGGTACACAGCAGAACAGCCACTTGTGGCAGAGGGGTGCACACAGCTTACAATGTCCGGCAGACACGTGAGCTACTTTCCGTGATTTGGCATCTGAATTCATGTGCGCATCTTTGAAAGTTCACAACTTAGGGAGGTTGTTCCGTATCTTTGAAAGTTTTGCACCAACTCGAATGTTCGTAAGTACAGGACTTACTGTACTTGAGTCACCTCCAACCTCATCCCCTGCAGCTATTACTTTTTTGTATCTACACCCCCTCCCCTTTAGAGTGTAAGCTCCATGAGCCGGGCCCTTTAATACAAATCCAAAAACAATCTCTCATTCTTTTTGATGAGAATGTTTTAGGTGAACCAGAGTTGTTGGATGTGTTTTTTTTTTTTTTTAATTGTTTGAAGACATGTTTTTGGCTTTGTTCCTTTCCCCATTTCTGTTACTTTCTGGTCGGGAAGGAATAAGACAAAAAAAAAGGAAAAAAGCAAGATATTGTCAAGAAAGTTTTGGGTTCCTTGTGGTCTCTATTGTGTTTGATTACCATTTCCTGTGTATTCCGGGATCTGTGGATCCACGTTGTTCTATTTATGTGTAATCCTGTCTGTTGCGCAGTAATGCCATTGTGGATTCTGTAAGTTTTACTGTTTTCCATTTTCTCTATTATCTTGACAATAAACGTTGTTTGGAATAATATAAAAAAAAAAAAAAAAATAAAAGTCCAAAAGCAATATGTAAACAATGCTGAAGTATGAGCCAGTGACTTCTAAATCTACAGAAGGCTCTGTTTCACATATATGCAGTTTGCGTTTGATACTTTCTCCAGTGCTTTTTGCAGTTTGTGTTGCCTTTTTCTACACACGGTTTTGAACACGTTTTTTTGCCGTGTTTGTTCAGCTTTTTTTTTTTTGTTAAAGTGAAATTTTTTTTATTGCTGGACGGAATAAAAATGCAAAATGCGGCAAAAAAACTCACTACCCATGCATTTCAGCAGATTCTCCATTGAACTCTATTGTAGCAAAAACACTACTTTTTGCTTTTAAAAAAAGTCCCTCTTTCCCCAAAACTCAGCAGCTCAAAAAAGCATAGATGTGAAACGTGTTCCATAGAAACCATGTTAAATTGACTGTAGTATGTTCCTGCAAAAAGCACTAAAAAAACGCATTGGTGTGAACAGAGCCTAAAATTGTACACTTTATAGCATATTTAACATTTTCAGCCCCACACATTTTATGAAAAACTATGCTAAATCATAATCCATCATCTCACCTTCCTTCGAATCCACAGCCCACAGTGTAGGCGCATAAATCGTTCCAGTACAGATTTCACAGACTTTCTCTTCCCTCTTCGAAGACTGGTATATGTAACTGGTCTTGATGATTGCTGGAGAATGCTGGGAAGCAATGGTGCCACCCTAAAAAAATATTATATCCAGTGTCAGAATGCTGAATACAGATTTACCACAGTTGTGTTATTAAACTAAAAAGGGGTTTCCTGCTATTTTGTGGCCCCATTAGAAAGGTGAAATGTGCTACTTCATCCCATCAACGCATTTGCAGCTTGCAAAAGAACCAATAAGGAAAGAGTTCACGTGTACGTAAACCCAAAATCTATTTCATTTTTGTTCTATATGTGGAGATCCTGCCAGTAACAGCTCTTCCTGCTGCAGGCTGACAGTGTTAGACCACTACCCTGCATTTACCAGCCACATTGTCAGCCTGGCAGTTCCTTCAGTTGGCAGTAGGGTTTTGTTTTCTCCTTTTAATCAGGGGTGGCGTTGGCTGCAGACAGAGTCTGGAGTTCGGCTGTGGATCACCTATCTTCTAAATCAAAACTGTAGTTATTATTTATTTCAGGTACTTATATAGCACTGTCAGTTTACACAGCGCATTACACACATAAATATATATATATATATATATTGAACATTCACATCAGTCCCTAACCCTCAAGAGGTGTACAATCTAAGGTCCCTAACCTACATTCATACATACACATACTAGGGACAATTTAGACAGGATCCAATTAACCTACCAGCATGTCTTTGGAGTGTGGGAGGAAGCTGGAGCACCCGGAGGAAACCCACGCAAGCACAGGGAGAACATGCAAACTCCATGCAGGAGGCGCCATGGTCGGGAACCCATGACCCATTTACTGCAAGGCAGACGTGCTAACCACTAAGCTATTGATTTTTTTTTATTTTTTTTTATCACTGCTCATTTTTTATAGGGATAGTAAACCCATATTTTTTGGAAGAGGAGGTCCACACTTACATTATATATTTCTTTTTAAATTTCATCCCTTTGGCCGTTGGTACCCATTCCTGTTTGCAGGAAGCTAGCCAGCGGCTATGGAGATACCAGTGCATGCATGTTCCTGGGTGGTGTGTCGTACATCCATAGATACACACAGCATGTTGCAAACACACACTTCTGCTTGCAGCAGGAGTTCTGCTGCCCTCAGTACCCTCCTCTTCACTCCTACCACTGGCACTCAGCATGGGGTGACTGCAGGGAGGTTTCCTGCACTGCTCCTGTGTGAACCTCCTGAAATTCCTGTTCAAATTGCATGCTATTCTTTGCAGTGCAATTTGCGTCCATTAATGCAAATCGCACCGCAAAGTATCGGTAAGCAGTATCAGTGAGTACTTGACCGAACGTATTGGTACTCGTATGAGCCAATAAAAAACAAACAAAACCCCCCCCCCCCAAAAAAAAGGTACATCCCTAAAAGAGAGGAGAATGGCTGCAAACTACCCCCGTCTGTATGATCTTAAACCCTATGGTCCAGCATTGGGGTGCCAAAGTATAGCAATAACTGTACTCCCAGCACACAGTAAAAATGTAAACAAATAAATGGCTACAAGGCAGTATACACCTCAGACCTAACCTGTCATAAGCCATCACAGTTTACAGTAAATAGTGACAATTCATGGAGTTCTTCTTTAAATATGTAATCTATATTTAAAGTGGAATTCTGACTATACGGTAAAACGGTACCCTCCCCCCTCTAAGATGATTACCCTGTTTTCAGCCTGCTCCAGTGCAGTCACATCTACTTTATTTATTACAGGTACTTGTATAGCACCAACAATTTACACAGCAATTTCCCCCTATATATTGTACATTCACATCAGTCCCTGCCCTCAAGGAGCGTACAATCGAAGTTCCCTAACTCACAATCATACATACACACTAGGGCCAAACTAGGATCCAATTAACCTACCATCAGGTCTTTGGAGTGTGGGAGGAAACTGGAGTACCTGGAGGAAACCCATGTAGGCACAGGGAGAACATGCAAACTCCAGGCAGGTAATGCCAGGGTTGGGATTCAAATTGACATTTCTAGTGCTCTTAGGCAAAAGTGCTAAGTGCTTAGCTACTGATCTCCCATGTCAGCCAGCATAGGCTACGGGGAGAACAGAGAGAGCTCAAACAAAGGCTAGTAAAGCCTGGAGCGGTGTCACCACCCATCCATTGTTGGTGCTCCTTCCCCTGCGACCACGCTGGCTGACACAGGGGAGCTATGGGCAGCACAGTGGCTAAATGGTTAGCACTTCCACCTGGCAGTACTAGGGTCACTGGTTTGAATCCCAACCGCGACACCACCTGCCTGGAGTTTGCATGTTCTCCATGTGACTGCGTGGGTTTCCTCCGGGTACTCCAGCTTCCTCCCACACTCCAAAGACATGCTGGTAGGTTAATTGGCTCCTGTCTAAATTGTCCCTAGTACGTGTATAAATGAATGTGAGTTAGGGACTTTAGAATGTATGCTCCTTGAGGGTTAGGGACTGATGTGATATACAATATATATGTCGCGCTGCGTAAATTGACGGCATTATACAAGTACCTGAAATAAATAATAAATCACATGTATGGATCAGAGACTAGTTAGGTTTATAGCTGGCGTTCCATTTGAAAATACATACAGATAAACATGGACCAAACAGCAAGAAAATGACCTCACCTGCTGAGTATGGAGGTGTTCTGGGCAGATAGTTGGTTATTAATTGGAGACAAGAGGACTCCTGGTGTGGATTTAGTGAGTCCAGATATTCCCCTTACATGACTGGTTACAGGAAGGGTCAGCGCAGGCTTCCAGAGAACTGGAAAATACAAGAAGGAAATCACTATATCTACACAGCATACAATATGAATGAATAAGAGGGATGCCAGCTAAATCTAGAGGTCAAAGCCCATGTGCACACCGATACCTTAAACTGGCCATACACTGTGCCAAGGTCACCTGGTTGTTGAGGAACCAATTGAAATTTGCTCAGTGGATGGCCCTGCTCCATTTGACAAAAGCCATTAGTTTGACTTTTTGTCAGTTGGAGCCTGTTAGAAAATTTTCAGCTGAACAGTGGCTGCATCCAAAGGCTAAGAAGTGCCTAGCCTGACACAATTTTGTTTCGGCCTGCAGATGGGAAGTCCCTGTACCACTGCCAGAACACAATGCTGTATACTGCCTAGAAGTGACAATACATACAGTTTATACAAAGCTGATAGAGGCCACATCAATTAGTAAAGGAAATAGTTAGTTTGGTCCAGCTTGGCCCTACCGATCTACTGAGTGTGAAAGCAAGCCCGGAGTTAGGCTGTTACCACTCAGGTATGGAGCTTTTTAACCACTTGAGCTCCTGAGGATTTACCCCCCTTAATGACCAGGCCTTTTTTTGCTGTTTGGCGCTGCACTAATTCAAATGATAATTGCGCGGTCATGCAATGCTGTACCCAAACGAAATTTACGTCCTTTTTTTTCACACAAATAGAGCTTTCTTTTGATGGTATTTTATCATCTGTGCGCTTTTTATTTTTTGCGCTATAAACGAAAAAAAAAAAAACACAAAAATGTTGAAAAAAAAACCCAATATTTTCTGCTTTCAGCTATAAAAAATATATCGTAAACTCAAAGTTAGTCATAAATTTAAGCCAAAATGTATTCTGCTCCATGTTTTTGGTAAAAAAAAATCCCAATAAGTGTATATTGATTGCTTTGTGTGAAAGTTATAGAATCTACAAACTATGGTATAGATGCTGTAATTTACTCCTTTTTTTGCTATACAGCACTGCACTAATTCAAATAATAATTGCGCGGTCATGCAATGCTGTACCCAAACAAAATGTACGTCCTTTTTTTCACACAAATAGAGCTTTCTTTTGGTGGTATTTTATCATCTGTGCGCTTTTTATTTTTTGCGCTATAAACAAAAAAAAAAAAAACACAAAAATTTTGAAAAACTATATTTTCTACTTTCAGCTATAAAAAATATATCGTAAACTCAAAGTTAGTCATCAATTTAAGCCAAAATGTATTCTGCTACATGTTTTTGGTGAAAAAAAAAAAATCCTGTGCATTAGCGGGCAAACTGGAGCTATATGGGAGGGGCGCTAACACTATCGGAAGTCACCAGTGACACTAATACAGTGATCAGTAAAAATCTGTTCACTGTAATCAATGACAATGGTGACAGGGCAGTGAAGGGGTTAACTGGGGGGGGGGGGGGGGGGGGGCGATCAAGGGGTTAAATGGGATTACTGGTGTACTGGCGGGCAAACTGGCGCTATCTGGGAGGGGCGCTAACACTATTGGAAGTCGCCAGCGACACTGATACAGTGATCAGTAAAAATCTGTTCACTGACCAATGACACTGGTGACAGGGCAGTGAAGGGGTTAACTCGGGGGGGCCATCAAGGGGTTAGATGGGATTACTGGTGTATTAGCGGGAAATCTGGCGCTATCTGGGAGGGGCGCTAACACTATTGGAAGTCGCCAGCGACACTGATACAGTGATCAGTAAAAATCGGTTCACTGATCAGTGACACTGGTGACAGGGCAGTGAAGGGGTTAACTGAGGGGGGGGGGGCGATCAGGGGGTTAAATGTGTCCTAGGTGTGTTCTTACTGTGGGTATGTGCTGTTTTACTCACTGTTAGTATGTTTTCTTCTCTGTCTGGAATGGAATGTGTCCAGGCAGAGAAGAATGACATATCCTGTCCTGTGTAAATGTCAACACAGGACAGGATAGGACAGGGACCGATCATCTGATTTCAGCCAGACATCACTGGCTGAAATCGAATGATTGATCCCTCCGGGATCAAATGTTGTCACCCGTGGGTCGGCGGGAGCGCGTGTGCGCGTCCCCTGCCGGCGAAAACGTTGGGAGCGCGGAACCAGTTTTAAAACGTGGTTTTGCGCCCCAGTGCTGCCCTGCACACGTATATATGCAGTGGCAGGGCGACAAGAGGTTAAAAAGGAATGCATTTAAAGGATAGAGAAACATTTGTTCCCCGAACTCTATCAGATGACTACCAGTTTCCTACCTGTTCTTGCTTCAGACTGCTGGAATGTTCTTGAAAAATGCCTGAGAGACAAAGAATAAGAATATGAATTATAGGAGGAACTGCAGCTCCATCATAGAGCAATACATAAGGGTGGTCAGCTGCATATTCTGCTATATCTCCATTAGAGTGGGACCCCCAAACCTGGCTTCACTGTAAGAAGAGTGCTAGAAGATTTGTAGTCGGAAATTACAAGTCATCCTTTACAGACAAAAGTTAAACGCATAGTTGTAAAATAGCGAGGTATTTTGGAGGATGTATGTCCAATTTAACCCTTTCATGCACATTGGTCACCAGGGTGGATTTGATTTAAATCACTAGTGAAAAGGCTCGATTTAAATCATAAGTTTTAAAGAGCAGCTGTCATCTCTGTCCCGCAGCGGCTCCTCCTCTGACCCACTGTTGACTCACCGACAGTCACATTCACTTTAATGGTACGACTGGTAATGCGGCAGGGACACAACAAGCTGAGGGACGTGGCGGTAGCAGGTGAATGGACGCCTGCTAACAGGCGCTGCCATGATGGATCTAAAATTATTATTATACAGTATTTATAAAGCACCAATAGTTCGCTCAGCGCTGTACATTACAAAGGGGGACAGAACATGTGACAGAACAATAACAATACAATGCAAAACATGAGGGGATTGAGGGCCCTGCTCTTTCGAGCTTACAATCTAGGAGGGAGGGGATAGTGGTACAGGAGGAGATAGCTGTGGGGGATGGAGTGGTAGGAAGAGTGGAGGAGGTCGGCAGGTTAGCAGGGGGCGGGGTAGGCTTCCCTGAAGAGGTGGGTTTTCAGGGTGCGCCTAAAGGAGAGGAGAGTAGGTGATAATCTGATGGGTTGGGGCAGGGAGTTCCAGAGGATGGGTGACACCCTGGAGAAGTCCTGGAGGCGGGCATGGGCGGAGGAGACCAGGGAACTAGAGAGAAGGAGGTCTTGTGAGGAGCGGAGTGTGCGTGCTGGGCGGTACTTGGATATTAGGTCGGTGATGTAGTTCGGGGCAGTATGGTGGACAGCTTTGTACGTCAGTGTTAGGATTTTGAATTTGATCCGTTGCGCAATCGGAAGCCAGTGGAGGGATTGGCAGAGGGGGGTGGCGGAGATGGAGTGGTTGGAAAGGTGAATGAGTCTGGCAGCCGTATTCAGGATCGACTGAAGCGGGGATAGCCAGCGGCGAGGCAGGCCAGTGAGGAGGGAGTTGCAGTAGTCGAGTCGTGATATGATGAGGGAGAGTATTATTATTATACATTATTTATATCGCGCCAAAAGGTTTGCTCAACGCGGTACATTATAGTGGGGGACAGAACATGAGACAAGACAGTAGCAATACAATACACGAGTGGTTCGAGTGCCCTGCTCTTTCGAGCTTACAATCTAGGAGGATGAGCTGTTTAGTGGTTTCTGGGGTTAGGAACGTGCGGATTTTGACGATGTTGCGGAGGTGGAGTCTGCATGAGTTTGTTAAAGATTGGACTTGGGGCTGGAAGGATAGGTTGGAGTCCAGAATGACACCAAGTACTCTGGCCTGCGGGGCGGGTTTGATGGTGGCGTTGTTGGACATGATGACAGGTGCTCTTTAAATGTAAGGAATCCGACTCATTCTTGCAGGTAGTTAGAATCTTTAATAGTTGCAAACCAAATGAAGGTTTCCTTTTTAGAATAATAAGCTGTCAGGTTAGTAAAACAGCGATATCAGAACCGATTTTAGGTTAACCTCTTCCCTAACGCGCTACAGCCGAAAGATGGCTACAGCATGGTTGTCTAGTTCTGGGACGTCGTCGTCCATGGGCGCTGATCGCTGTGTCACAGCTGATCATGTGATATGGTAAACGGCCAATCACAGCGGCCTTTTACCACATGATCAGCTGTGTCTAATGACACAGCAGATCACCGGGTAAATACAGTTGTGGTTATCGGCTGCACTTTCCTCACACTGTCACAGCATGAGGAAAGTACTGCCGATAACCGACAATTGTCTGAGAAGTGATCAGCACTCATCATCGGAGCCCAGCAGCGCCACCCACCTGTGCCCTGCAGTGCCACCCACCTGTGCCCTGCAGTGCCACCCACCTGTGCCCTGCAGTGCCACCCACCTGTGCCCTGCAGTGCCACCCACCTGTGCCCCCTCATATGTGCTGCCTATCAGTGCCACCTATCAGTGCCGCCTCATCAACACAAATCAGTGGAGAAAAATTACCTGTTTGCAAACTTTTATAATAGAAACAAAGAAAAACTTTTTTTTTCAAATTTTTTTCTCTATTTGTGTGAAAAATAATTATAAAAATGTCATATAGGTACAGTGTTGCATGACCGCGCAATTGTCATTCAAAGTGCGACAGCGCTGAAAGCTGAAAATTGGCCTGGGCAGGAAGGGGGTATAAGTGCCTGGTAGGCAAGTGGTTAATAGGTTTAACCACACATAGCTGGAGAATGACTCAGATTCTTTTTTTTCATGTTTTTTCTCATGGTTACTGTGACATTGTGTGAATGCATCAATGCAGTGCATGTTATCTCAGCTTGGATTCATTGAATGAGTTCACCAAAAATGTAAATATTGCACAATATACAACCTCTTGCTACATAACTACGCTCCATTTCATGCTGAATAAACTAAATTAGTAATGTATCCTAAATAGGAAACTATCTTTAGATATTTTTAAACCCCAAAAACATTTTGTTAAAATAAATTTGATAAATATAAAAATCAGATTTAAATTAAAAAAAAAAAAACAAATCATCGATTTTCATCCACCCTGTTCGTCATTACAGTGGACAGATATTTAAAAGCTGTTTTTTCTTGTATATGCATGGGTTCCGATTGCATAGTTGCAGATCACCCATTGTAAGCTCGAAAGAGTAAGGCCCTCTAACCCCTCGTGTGCTGCTTGTTGTTGCTGTACTGTTTCATGTATTGTCCCCCCCCCCCCCCCCTCTATTGTACAGCGCTGAGCAAACCCTTTGGCGCTATATAAACTCAATGTAATGTAATACTGTGGATACTAGTGTGTCACCCCATACTCTGCCACCCACTGAAAAGCCATTGTAAGTGCAACAAAAAATTTTCAAAACCAAGTTGGCCGACAGGCTGAGCAGCTTAGGAATATCTTGCCAGTACATCTATAGGAGGAAAATCTTTGAGATAAACAAAAATTAAAAAATACGGTAACATTGGGTAAAGCCTAAAGAAACCTATTGTAATTAAATGTTAGTAGTATTGATTTTATCTTCAGCAGAAAATTACAATTAATCATCTCTCCTAGATTGTAAGCTCCAAGGATCAGGGCCCTCCTATCCCTCTTGTATTGTTACTGTATTGTCTCCCGTTATATTGTAAAGTGCTGAGCAAACTGTTGGCACTATATAAATCCTGTATAATAATAATAAATATATAAATCCTGTATAATAATAATAATATATATAAATCCTGTATAATAATAATAAATACATAAATCCTGTATAATAATAATAATATATAAATCCTGTATAATAATAATAATAAAAAATCCTGTATAATAATAATAAAAAATCCTGTATAATAATAATATATAAATCCTGTATAATAATAATAATAATAATATATAAATCCTGTATAATAATAATATATAAATCCTGTATAATAATATTTAAATCCTGTATAATAATAATATATAAATCCTGTATAATAATAATAATATATAAATCCTGTATAATAATAATAATATATAAATCCTGTATAATAATATATAAATCCTGTATAATAATAATATTTAAATCCTGTATAATAATAATATATAAATCCTGTATAATAATAATAATATATAAATCCTGTATAATAATATATAAATCCTGTATAATAATAATATATAAATCCTGTATAATAATAATATATAAATCCTGTATAATAATAATAATATATAAATGCTGTATAATAATAATAATATATAAATCCTGCATGATAGTAATAATCAGTCCACTAAATTGGACATCATGCATCACTGGTTTATATTTCATCTACTATTCATGCTACTACTGGGACTTTGTTTTTATTGAAAATAATGCAGCTGCAGTAACTTTACTGGCTGTAGATCAAGTTTTTTATGCTATCAAAATGTAATTTGCAGTTTTTTGTAATAAAAACATAATTTTGTGCCAATAAGTTCCATTATGTGAAGGCTTCACACACATTGGACATTTTGCTGGCTCTCCTAGGCACCTTTCCTCCTGGCAGCAGTATTTTGGTTTAAAAAAAAAAAACACTTGCAAACATGTGTAACGTGTTTAGGCGCATCAAGTGTTTATATGTTAAGTCATTTAACCACCTCCCATCCGGCCGTTGTATATAAACGGCCCCCGGACGGTGGCAGTGCAGGGTCGGGGGGACCGTTTATAAACGGCCTCCCCGCCCCCTGCTTGTGCACGCTCCCTGAGAGCACGCAGCACAGCTATCCGGTGCCTGCCGTGTCCTCCAGACACAGTGGAACACCGATCGGACGGGACCTCTGTGTTAGGTCCCGATCATGTGATCACCGATTGGCCAATCAGTGATCACATGCAAAGTAGTAAGCAAGATATCACCTGTGACATCATTGCTTACTACATGTGAAATCTGTGAATGATCACAGAGGTCACATGGCACAATGCTATTCACAACAGCCTTGTACCATGTGACAAGCTGTGACCAATCACAGCTCACTCAGTATTTCTCAGCCAGAGAGAAGCAGAAATGATTGCTATAACAGCCTTTATGGGTATAAAAGCAATCCGTGTAAAAAAAAAATCTTCATCACCCCCCCACAAGTAGTACAGTGTCACTATGGTGACACTGTACTGCTAGGGTGACAGTATGTTAAACAAAAATATATAAAAAAAAAAAACAAAAATTTAAAAAAAAGTTTACAAATTATAATTTTTGGTTATAAACTAATTTGTGTTATTTATTTTTTTTTTTACTAAAAAGATAATAGAATAAATTTTGGTCAAGATTTATGATGAAATATTTATTTGCAAAATTTTAGAATAAAAACATTTTTTTTTCAAAATTTTTGGACTTTTTCATGTACATAGCAAAAAAAAAATAAAAAATCCCAGTGGTGAATAAATACCACCACAATAAAGCTTTATCTGTCTCAAAAAAATGCTAAAAAATTCATATGGGTACAGTGTTGCATGAATGCAATTGTCATTCAAAGTGTGATAGCGCTGAAAGCTGAAAATTGACCTGGACAGGAAGGGGGTGAAAGTGTCCGGTCTGGAAGTGGTTAAAGGGACAGTGTAAAAAAAAAATTAAATCATAAAAATTAAAGAATAATAAAAAGTTTAAAGTGCCCCGTCCCTCCACATAGTGCTGAACACATACGTAGACCACGCCCACATATGTAAACGGTGTTCAAACCACACATGTGAGGTATCGCCACGAACCTCGGAGCAAGAGCAATCATTCTCGCACTAGACCTCCTCTGGAACTTTACACTGCTAACCTGTAGACATTTTTAAACCGCCACTCATGGAGATTTGTAAGCACCTTAGTTTGATGCCATTCCACAAGCGTGCGCAATTTTAAAGTGTGACATGTTGGGCATCTATTTACTTGCCTTAACATCGTCTTTCATATTTCACAAAACAATTGGGGTATATATTGTATTTTGGTTTTTTTTTTTAATCATTAAAGTGTATTTTTTTCCAAAAATATATATTAATTTTTTAAAAACTTCTATTTCGGTTTTTGGCCAAGGGCATCCTGAATTTTCGGTTTTGGCACCAGAATTTTAATTGTGGTGTACCACTAGTAAAAAAAAAAGAAAAAAAAGAGAATTAAAATCAAAAATATTTGAAAGTGCCCTCCCCACGCACAGGTAAACGCACACGTCGGTTCCGCATGCATATGTAAACAGTGATCGCACCACACACGGGAGGTATCGCCATAAACGTAGGAGCAAGAGCAATAATTCTAGCACCAGACCTCCTGTGTAACTCTAAAATCATAACCTGTGAAGGCGTTTTTAAAGCGCGATATGTTTGGTATCTATTTACTTGCTGTAACTTCATCTTTTATATTTTACCAAAAGAAAAAAAAGTGATATTATATTGTGCTTGTGTTCACTGAAAATCATTAAAGTGTATTTTTCTCCCCCAAAAATGTGTGTGAAAAACCATTGTACTACCGTGTGGCAGTAAAAATTGCATTTTATTCTCCAGGACCTCAGCTTAAAAAAAAAAAAAAACAAAACGTTTGGGTAATTCTCTAGCAAGAAAAAAAAAAAAAAAAAAGGTTGCAGTAGGAGAGACGTGTCGGAATGGGCCTGGTAGGGAAGTGGTTAAGTGAGGTCATCAACCTAAGCCCATCGCCTTGCTGGGGAATGTATTGTATATGTCCTGGACACTCCAATAGGGAGGTCTATCCAAGGGGGGGGGCACCCATCCACACCTGTCCTCAACAAAGGGGGACCTACCGTCACCTACAGCGCAGACCAGGCCAAAACAGTGTTTACATCTCCCCTTCCCCAACAGAAGAGGACCTGTCACCTACAGCGCAGACCAGAACAGTGTTTACATCTCCCCATCCCCAACAGAAGAGGACCTGTCACAGCGCAGACCAGAACAGTGCTTACATCTATCTTCCCCAACAGAAGAGGCCCTGTCACCTACAACGCAGACCAGGCCAGAACAGTGTTTACATCTCCCTTCCCCAACAGAAGAGGCCCTGTCACCTACAATGCAGACCAGAACAGTGTTTACATCTCCCTTCCCCAACAGAAGAGGCCCTGTCACCTACAACGCAGACCAGGCCAGAACAGTGTTTACATCTATCTTCCCCAACAGAAGAGGCCCTGTCACCTACAATGCAGACCAGGCCAGAACAGTGTTTACATCTCCCCTCCCCCAACAGAAGAGGACCTGTCACTTACAACGCAGACCAGGCCAGAACAGTGTTTACATCTCCCTTCCCCAACAGAAGAGGCCCTGTCACCTACAACGCGCAGACCAGAACAGTGTTTACATCTCCCTTCCCCAACAGAAGAGGACCTGTCACTTACAACGCAGACCAGGCCAGAACAGTGTTTACATCTCCCTTCCCCAACAGAAGAGGCCCTGTCACCTACAACGCAGACCAGAACAGTGTTTACATCTCCCTTCCCCAACAGAAGAGGACCTGTCACCTACAGCGCAGACCAGGCCAGAACAGTGTTTACATCTCCCCTCCCCCAACAAAAGAGGACCTGTCACCTACAGCGCAGACCAGAACAGTGTTTACATCTCCCCTTCCCTAAAAGAAAGGACCTGTCACCTACAGAGCAGACAAGGTCAGGATTTCCCATCAGCCCCTGTACTGCCCACCATACTGTCCTCTACCAGGGACATTGCATGCACAGCCCAGCCGACCTTCCACCCTCCGGGCACATACTAGTATTACACCCCATCCTCCCCCCGGTACCTGAGCAGAGTCCCCGGGCGGCCACACACAGCCCGGAGGGGCGCACAGGACAGCGCCATTTTCCGCAGCCTCAGTTCCCGGACTGTACCATTTGTAGGGGGGGGTTCAATGCGGACTGTACCATCTACAGAAGAGATCTCACCGGACTGTACCATCTACAGAGGGGTCCTACTATCCTGTCTCTACCATCTACTAATGGGCTGCCACTCCCCATCCCTTCCAGTACTGCTTCTTCCACTCTCCCCCCAAACACAGCCTGAATATTTGTATGCTGTAGGTTGTGCACTGACTATATTTCTGAGCACCCCCCCGGGTCCTGGCTGAGTAGTGGTGTATTCTACTTCCGGGTCCTGCACGTGTTGGTGTGTAGGGAAGGCAGAGCGGTGCGGGGTGTACGGGGTGGTCATGCTCTTCTCCCGGGACATACCATGGCGGCGTCTGCAGGGGGTCAGCTTCGTGATGTTCACTTCGGAGGAGATCAGGTGAGTAGTGGTGCGGAATCTATCCTGTGTGTGGTCTAGGGGGCGCTGTGTGTGCTGCAGAACTCCTATGTGATGGCCCAGCTGTCAGAAGTATAGACACAGTGATGGGGTAATAGTCCGAGCTACTGGAACCTCCCCCATCATTACATGTCACCATGACAACAGTGCAGTTGTCAAGGCAAAACACTTTTTTTTTGTACAATTACCCCCCTTCTTACCTGGTGACGGTACAGGGGTTGGACAAAATGATGGAACCGCCAGGTACAAGACTGAAATAAGTCGTTACCCAATATGGCGTTAAACCGCATTTGTCATCCAAGGTGGCCTGAATTCTTCTTGGAACTGACCAATATGTCTGGGAGGATGGAATCCGATACCACTCGTTCCAGTTCTCTCAGAGATGGCGGAGAACAAACCCGAACCTTGGTCTTCAAAATGGACCCTAGTGGCTCTATGATATTGAGGTCCGGGGACTGCGGTGCCCAGAGAACGTGCGAGACTTGGTATGGTCATCAAACCATGATTGACAACACCAGCTGTGTGAATTGGAGCATTATTGTCTTGGTAAATGGTGCTGTCCTTGGGAGGCGATGTCTGCACCATGAGGGGCACCAAAAATTGCACATAGTCAAAGGGGCAGACTGACAACTCATGGGGCCCCCCGGGCAATAGGGGATCATGGGGCCCCTGTGTCCTTGCCCAAACTCAAAAAAGTTATGAAAAAGGTACCAGGGGCATCTCATGGGGCCCCCTACTGACCCCGGGCAGTGCCCAAGTTTCCAAATGGTCAGTCCGCCCCTGCATAGTCACTGCAGTGATTCTACCTTTCAAGGTGATGATGGAGTATGCAGAATACCAAGATATGCCTGCCCGAACCATGATTGTGCGCCACCAGGCTACGGTTGTGCGCCACCAGGCTACGGTTGTGCGCTACCAGGCTACGATTGTGCGCTACCAGGCTACGATTGTGCCATCACCATGCTTTACCGTTCACACAAGACAGTCCTGGTTGTAAGCTTGGGGCGGTGATTGCAACACATAAACATGTCTGATGGTTGGGAACAGTGTGAAGCTGGATTCATCGAACCATATTACAGTCTTCCATTGATCGATAGTCCACAATTTATGGGTGTTGCACCAGTCTCTCCTCTTCTGAGCACTAATATCGGCCACTAGTGGTTTGGCAATTGCAGATCGCTCGGCAATGTTTTGCTTCTGGAGTTCCTGCCGCACAGTCTTTGAGGACACAGGCTTTGGAAGACTGAGATTGAGCTCTGCAGTCACTGTTGCAGCACTTGTTTTCTTATTCCGGGTCACAATCCTGTGCAATGTCCTTTTGTCTCTTTTGGTCAGCTGACTGTGTTGACTGCACTTATTCTTATCAGACGACATTTTCCCGGAAACTGTATATGATGTCATAACTTTTTATACTGTACATTGTGGCACGGTAAATAAATTGTCAACTTCTCAGAGGCACCAACAATCTGCTCTTTGAAGCTCAGTAAGCTCTGACATGACTCCGTATTACTAGCAGCACACGCAGTGAATGACGGAAGTGAGGCTTCCCACCTGTTAGTTAGGTGTCTCATCACACAGTGGAAGCAATGATTTCAAAGCAAAACATGTCCTCACTTTCATACCTGCAAATAGTGTAGCGTTTCCATTTTTTTACGTCTAACCTCCTGTGAGATAGATATACATACATACACACACTTACGTGCACCTCGGTTTACAAATGCCTAGGTTAACGTAATGTTCAGTTTACGAATGAAAAGCCATTTAAAATAATGCCTCCGGTTTACAAATTTTTTTCGCAATACGAAGTGTATGTCGGTGCCGATTTTTAAATGCAATTGCCGTCTTTTTTTTCTTCTTTACTATAGCTCACAGAGCTGTCACATTCCCCCGAGTTAAAGGAAGCATTGTTTCTTTTACCTTTTAAACTAAAAAGAAACTTTCTCTTTTAGCTGGGGGAAAGTGACAGCTGAATCTCTGAGCTATAGTGAAGAAAAAAAAAGTGGTAATTACATTTAAAAGCCAACACCATAATAGATAAAAAATGGTGTGGGGTCCCCCCTCCCATCCATACCAAGCCTTTTCGGGTCTGATATGGATTTTGAGGGGGACTCCCACGCCACAATTAAAAAAAAAAAAAAATGGCGTGGGGGTCCCCCCCAAAATCCATTCCAGACCCTTATCCAAGCATGCAGCCCGGCAGGACAGGAAAGGGGGGGAGACGAGTGAACGCCTCCCTCCTGAACCATACCAGGCCAAATGCCCTCAACATGGGGGGGTGCCTTGGGGCAGGGGGGGCCTCCCATCCCCCCCAAAGCACCTTGTCCCCATGTTGGGGGACAAGGGTCTCTTCTCCACAACCTTGGCTGCTGTTTGTGGGGATCTGTGGGCAGGGGGCTTATCAGATCTGGAAGCCCCCTTTAACAAGGGGTCCCCCAGATCCTGCCCCCTCCCATGTGAATGAGTATGAATGAGAGAATGTGATGCCACCGCCCTGCCTCTCCACCTAATCTAATCAGAATGCTTTGTATTGTTCAGAAAATGTTGAGTGGCTGACCTCCTGTGTTCAGAATGCATCAGGCTTGGCCACTCAGTACGGGACCCGGAAGCAACTGGAGATCTTTGATGTAGCAAAATCTACTACAATGATTTCCAGCTTCCTGGGCCATCTGCTGGGTATGATATATACATTGTTGCATTGGACCAATGTAACTATATAAAATTATACCATACCTGCTATTCTTCTTTAAAGTGCTACTAAAGGCTATTTTTTCAGCAGCCAATATACAGTGGGGATCGAAAGTTTGGGAACCCCAGCTAAAAATTTGTATTAATGTGCATAAAGAAGCCAAGGAAAGATGGAAAAATCTCCAAAAGGCATCAAATTACAGATTAGACATTCTTATATGTCAACAAAAGTTAGATTTTATTTCCATCATTTACACTTTCAAAATAACAGAAAACAAAAAAATGGCGTCTGCAAAAGTTTGGGCACCCTGCAGGATTTATAGCATGCACTGCCCCCTTTGCCAAGCTGAGACCTGCCAGTGTCATGGATTGTTCTCAATCATCGTCTGGGCAGACCAGGTGATGTCAATCTCAAAGGTTTTAAATGCCCAGACTTATCTGACCTTGCCCCCAACAATCAGCACCATGGGTTCTTCTAAGCAGTTGTCTAGAAAACTGAAAATAGTTGACGCTCACAAAGCTGGAGAAGGCTATAAGAAGATAGCAAAGCGTTTTCAGATGTCAATATCCTCTGTTCGGAATGTAATTAAGAAATGGCAGTCATCAGGAACAGTGGAAGTTAAAGCAACATCTGGAAGACCAAGAAAAATATCAGACAGAACAGCTCGCAGGATTGTGAGAAAAACAATTCAAAACTCACGTTTGACTGCACGATCCTTCCAGAAAGATCTGGCAGACACTGGAGTTGTGGTACACTATTCCACTATAAAGAGATACTTGTACAAATATGGTCTTCATGGAAGAGTCATCAGAAGAAAACCTCTTCTACGTCCTCACCACAAAAATCATCGTTTGAACTTTGCAAATGAACATATAGACAAGCCTGATGCATTTTGGAAACAAGTTCTGTGGACCGATGAGATTCAAATTGAACTTTTTGGCCGGAATGAGCAAAGGTACGTTTGGAGAAGAAGGGACACAGAATTTAATGAAAAGAACCTCTGTCCAACTGTTAAGCATGGGGTTGGATCAATCATGCTTTGGGGTTGTGTTGCAGCCAGTGGCACAGGGAACATCTCACGAGTAGAAGGAAAAATGGATTCAATAAAATTTCAGCAAATTTTGGATGGTAACTTGATGCTATCTGTAAAAAAGCTGAAGTTAAAGAGAGGATGGCTTCTACAAATGGATAATGATCCTAAACACACCTCAAAATCCACGGGGGATTACATCAAGAGGTGTAAACTGAAGGTTTTGCCATGGCCTTCACAATCTCCTGACCTCAACATAATTGAAAATCTATGGATAGACCTTAAAAGAGCAGTGCGTGGCAGACAGCCCAGAAATCTCAAAGAACTGGAAGACTTTTGTAAGGAAGAATGGGCAAAGATACCTCAAACAAGAATTGAAAGACTCTTGGCTGGCTACAAAAAGCGTTTACAAGCTGTGATACTTGCCAAAGGGGGCAGTACAAGATATTAACTCTGCAGGGTGCCCAAACTTTTGCAGACGACATTTTTTTGTTTTCTGTTATTTTGAAAGTGTAAATGATGGAAATAAAATCTAACTTTTGTTGACATATTATAAGAATGTCTAATCTGTAATTTGATGCCTTTTGGAGATTTTTCCATCTTTCCTTGGCTTCTTTATGCACATTAATACAAATATTTAGCTGGGGTGCCCAAACTTTCGATCCCCACTGTATACTCATTAGCTTAGTATATCATAAACTATTTCCTCCAAAACAGATGATTAATATTTTTTGTTTTTTCTTCAGTACCCCCCCCCCCATCCTGTTTAACTGTGTGCATCTTCCCCCAAACCTTCTCACAGGACAGCGCACATTTATTCACTGCTAATCCCCTGATTCAAGTCCCAACATGCCTTGTGACAATACGCATGTGTGTGTGTGTTGTGTTTTTTTTTTTCTCTTCTGTAGTAATATCTGGCTGCTTGTGATTGTAGATGCAGGTGGTATACCCAAGTCCCCATGTGGTCTGATCTCAGGAGTGAGCACGAAAGTGTGGCTCCTCAGGAAATGGTATAAATGGTAATATTTTTCAAAATGGCATTAAATATTGGGGAAAAAAAGCTTTTAACCACTTCTGGACCGGTACGTTGCTGGACTTTGAGTGGGTATACCGGGATGAGGCCTATAGCTGCAGGCATCATCCCATTATTGTTCTTATCAGCCAACGGTCGGCTGTTTTGTAAAAGCAAGCTGTTAAGCCACTGGATTGCTTTTACAAGTGGCAGGAGGGGACGTCCGCTGCCCATCAGTAGACCTGAGTATGCAG